CAATGAACTACTAAAGACTAAAATCTTTCTCCCATTTCCAGTGCGCCATCAAATTCCTTTCATAAAAGAGTTATCGACCCTAAATAATGCTCTGCTATAAATATGACCATCGATTTTTTTATTAGTACTTACTAAATAATAATTTTTAAAGGCAATTTTTTTAGGTCCAATAAAAAAAATGATCTTTTTCAAGTATTTAATAAATTGGCTATCCTACCATGACAAACTGACTGGTTGCCCAGGGGTTATGTCGCTCCCCCTATTAGGGAGGGCGCCTACGGCACTCAGGAGGCGCCCCCATTACTCCCCTTAGACAACTAAGGGGCTTTAACCTTAATAAATATGAAGCTCTTACTTGGTCTTTATTTGACCCTCACTTTATTAAGATATTTCAAATTTATTTTTAATCATACATTTTATGAGTTTACACTTTCAATCACACATTTTACCAAAATATAATAAAAAACTTGTTTTTACTAACAAAACGGGAGCTCAATATTGACTTAGTGTGACAATTGATGTGGACTTTATAGTTAACATACAGAAATACACATTGATGAATAAATCTGGAAATAATATTTTGTCGTTTGAAAGAGAGTCAAATTATGCCAAAATTTTTAAAACAGGGGTTTTTTCAAAAAAAATAAAATAAAATAAAATTGTTTAATGCAATTTGAGACTATTTAAAGGTGGTGGAGATACTCACCCCGTTTGATGAGAATTAAAATCAGATTTTTAATAGATTTTGATAAAAGTTATTTAAATGTATAGATGAAAAATGTGAGTCCCATAAAATGTATGATTAAAATTAATTGTTGACTTTAATTTAGATTAAAATCTGAATTTTAATTTGTATCAAACAGGGACTTGATCTCGAAACAATATATATTATCTAAATTTCTCATCAAACATGATATTCATTAAAACGATAAACTTATTTGGCCTCCATTTGAGAAATTTTTTGAAAGAATGAATTGATAAATTAATAAAAATGAATGATGAATAAGTGAATAATAAGTTATAATTATGGGTGTCAACGAGTTGAGCTGAAATTCTCAGCTCGGCTTTCGACTCAGACTTTTTTAAGGTGGGCCTTTTTTGGCCCAAGTAGAGCAAAAGGTCGGCCAAAAAATTAAGGATCAATTCGAGTTTTAGGCTCGGGCCTTACCAAGTCAAGCTGGGATGAGCTCGATTTTTTGGATTTTTTAAATTTTTTTTTCTAAAATAGCTGCCAAATAGGCAGTTAAATAGCTCCCTCAACAGGCAATAGATTTTTTCCTGCCAGTTAGCAACTTGATCGAGCTACCGATTAAGGCAGTCTAGTTGCCAAACAAAAGCAGCAGATTTTTATGAGCTGGCCCATCTTGAGTCAACTCTTCGAAATGGGGCTCGGCCCGAGCTTTGACTCGAAGCATCAAGCTGAGTCGATTTGGGCTTTTTCTGACCGAATCCGGACGACTCGAGCTGACAAACCTAATTGCCATCTCTAACTATAATTCTCGCTAGAAGTTAAATCAAAATAGTCTAGAAAAATGATTAAATTAATCATATACACCCAATGCTTTTCAAAAGCACTTTTGTTTTAATTAGTGTACCGTAGTAACGTAACATGCAACAACTTTTTACGTGGCTCCCCGACACCGCTCCCAAGAAAATACTAATTATTATTTTAATCTTAACCATCTATTACATATAATTGATTAGTGTTGAATGATTGTGTTTAGGTTAATTCTTTAATCGACACGATAGGTTAAAGTAAGTTAGACGATTTAATTAACATAATATGTCGCATTGTGTAAAAAATAAAATTTTAAGCTAAGTTTATACTTAAAAAATAGTAGATATTAGTTATTTAATGAAGAAATTATGAAAAAGAGCATTATGATTTTTACTTTTCGGAGTCATTAATAAAAGTGATTATTTCTCTATAAGTTAATTACTATTTTCATATTAGTCACTAGTCGGGGTCTACTTTTTCCAGATTTTGAGTGCTAAGGGTTGCTCTGCATGGTTGGTTCATGAACAATGTATCAGAGTCTAAAATCAAATTCAAACTATGGACAACATATGAATATTCCTATACTACTCTCAAAATCTATAGAATATCCTCGTCTTATTTAATATAAAATACGCATGAGAAAATAAAATTGTTACACCGAGTTATTGTGTATTCTTCCTTAAATATTGTGCAATTCACCTTTATTTTTTTAAAAAAAAAAAATCTCTTCAAAAATTTCTTTATATCAACGAGAAATATAAGTATATATAGCTAATTATATGTAAGGTACAATTATGAGATCATGTGCGGTCACACCGCCTCACACCCATAAAATCAGTCTCAAAAGATTACTTCCTTAACAATAATTAATTTTTTTTAATATTTACAATAACACTATATTAATTTAACTAATGATATATTCAATCTTATCTATTACAAGATAGCGTAGTCCAATCCCGTGATATCTTGTCATGCCTCTTTTTGTTGAGTTCTTCGTAAATTTGACTGTTAAAATTAAAAAAGAAAAAAGAAAAAGTAATGAGCTCACAATAATGAATAGAGGTCTAGCTAGTTCGATTATTTCAAAATGACAGAAACGACACTATGATAGAATGAGAAATTTGAGAAAAACTTTAGTCAATTTTCCTTAAGTTGGTTTCGGACTCGTAATTAGAAATTGGAAAAATCATGTTTCGAACTTTGGCTAAATTAATTTATTGACAAAAGAAATTGGAAAATGATATTTGTGAGTTCAATTAATTAGTTGATAAATTTATTTAGCAAAAAAGCTAAAATGACTTGGCTTATTTAATGTAAAAAAAAATAAATAATAATAATAAAAAAATAAATTAGGAATATTCAATTATTAGACTAGAACCGAGAACTGAACCGAACCGAACCGAACTCGTTATTTCTTGATTCACATACTCGTTCGAATATTTAAATTAAAAAAATAAATCGCTCGATTCGATTTGGATCGGGCTAGATTTGAGAATTTTGTCCAACTTATGCATAAAAAGTGAAACGCTTTAACAATGTCATAATGTGCTCCAGTATGACACTCGACCTTTCACCCTAATATGAATAAAAGCTTTAAGAAAATTGAGGCTAATGCTGTTTGTAGCCACATTCACAAGACTATCATTGAATGTTGCGCATTATCCATCCCCACGCACATTTACCTCTTTGTATTTTTCATCCACGAATGATTGACAAGCTATGCAAAATTATCGTCATTCCATTCAACTTCAAATTGAGAAATGACAAGGATACTATAGTAGCAGATTTGGAGGCTATATATAGAAGAAGTTTTGTGGAAAATATTCGTTTTACAAATAAATTTTATATCTATATGTTGATATCAAAATCATACCTGAGTGTACCTGAGATTGAACTTGGACTCAACTAAGATCATAGATTGAAAGGTAGATTTATTGACCTCGTAATCTATTTAGTACTTAAGTCAATTAACTGTATGATAGATTTATAGATGATTTGTGAGTTAAAATTTTAATGAGATTAAAATTATGTTTAAAAAGTGTTCATAAATAATGTAAGTAATAAATAGATAGAAATGAGTTGTGAATAAATAAATAGTACTCGTAGTTCCTTAAAATTTATCGATAAAAAGTGTCTTAAACGTTTATAAACAATTTATAAACGTGAACCCAATATACAATAAGAGGGAATGCCCAAAGGTGCGGGCCATGACCAACCGAGTGTTAGACTAGGTCCCTTCCCATATAGCCTCGTTGGGGGCTATTTCTACAAAGGTTGGGATATCTTGGCCCTAGGAACAAGGTCAGAGACAAAGTCACAACAGAGGATATTAAGTTTAAGCTAGAGAAGGAAATGAAATCCCTAAAGGTTTCACGATACTAGGTGTGCTAAGTTATGAAGCGAGGGATTTATAATGATGTCAATGCCATGCTTAAGTTCATACTTAGAGATCATTTTTAGGTCAACCACAAAGCACCTCGAGTTAGAGAGGTCCGACTTATGAAGTTTTTGATGTAGATTTGTAGGGTGACCTTAGGATTGAGACCATTAAGGAAGGATTTTGACTGAACTATAACTGTTGAATACAGACAATAAGTTTAAAGATGAAACACGATCTATATTGAGGCACCAACCTCAACATCAAATTTACGTGGTAGTATTAGAATCGTGGTAGCAATCTCGGAGTGGAGGATCCTCAAAGTCAGGCCAATTTTCTTCAAGAAGCACAATGGACGTCCCGCGAACATGGTGCTAAAGGTCAAATCTGGGGTGTTCCAATTTTGATCTTATCACTATAATAATTATTTTTTTAACTTTGAAAAGGAGGCTTCGACCAAGAGGAGCCTCTAGATCTGCCCGAAGTATGGCAAATGCGTGAAAAATGGTCGGCAACCATATTCTCACCGTCTATTGCGGACTCGGTCTGAGAGGCCTGCGTCCTTCTATTTTTTCTAAAAAATTTTAAGGATCAATTAAATTAATTAAAGAAAAATAATAATTATTAAAGTTCTTTAAGCAATTAAAATAATATTTTAAGTTAAAAAGTGTCTTTCTCTAAGCATGTTGAGCACGTACAATTTGAGTCTTAAACCTCCTTGCACAGACTATCACCAGTCTTCTTTTACATATAGCTCCTGTATGGTGAAAAATAAATCAGATTTTTAATAAATTTTGATAAAAATTATTGAAATGTGTAGTTGAAAAGTTGTGAATCTTATAAAATATGTGATTAAAATTAATTGTTGTCTTTAATTTAGAATAAAATTTTAATTTTAATTTGTAACAAATAGGCCATAGTTGTTTCTTTTTAATATTTACATCTTTTCTTTTCAACTTTATCCTCGCACTATTCCAGACTACCCTTTAGCCGAGGGTATTTTGGTAACTTACCCAAAAAAAAATTTGAAGGGTAAAGAGGTAATTCTACCTTCAGGACACTGGGGAGTGGCAGTATAAAAAATTTCTTGTCCAGACTCCACAATAATAATAAAAGAAAAAGCCCCCTGTTTTTGAAAATCCTTCACGTAAGCAAACTTTTATGCGCGTCCAACCAAAAATCCTCAGCTAATTCTCGACTAACGAGTAAAAGTGCAAAAACAAACTCTTGAGTCACCTACATTTCTCCATCCCCACCGCTATTTTCAATCCCTTTTCAGATTTTAGTGTAGAATTTCAATGGAACTTCGTTTTGCTGCAATTCTTGTTTCAATCAATTTTTTCCTCTTCTTTGATGCCTACTTATGCACCGCTGCTACTGCCATTTACTCTTCAAGGCTGATTCATAGGTTTTCAGACGAAGCACAGCAGCTTTGGGTGTCGAAAAGCAAGAGCAATGAAAAAAGTAACACCCAAGGGTCGTGGCCGGAGGAAAAGAGCTTGGGCCATATGAGATTACTGTTGGACGGTGATTTGAAGCGGCAGAGGCTCAGGCTTGGGACCCAGAATGAGCTTTTGGTTCCTTCTCTAGGCGGCCATACTTATAACTATGGCAATGACTTGGGTTGGTAAGTGTATTTTTCTCATTTTCGTTAGTTAATTTTGTCTTAGTTATATTGGAATTTGTTTGGGTTTTTGCAATGTATTGCGTGTCTATCTCTATGTGTTTTTATAGTCTTATATTTTTGAGCTCAGGTTTAAGTGGACTTTTGATTGTCTAGCCAAATATTTCAAATTTCTGGAAATACTTGCTATTTTTTAGGGATATTAATTCGTGTATACAGTGTATGTTTTAAATAGCCGAGTGAATTTTGTTCTAGATTATGAATCTGATTTGGTTAAACCAATTTGTGCAGAACATTACTGTTAATAGTAGTGTGACAAAATCGGAATTTTTCTGAGATATAAAATGCAAAAAGAATTATATGTTCCACTTTTTTCTTTAATTTCCATAAAAAATTGAATTATACGTAATACGATGCTAGGCAAATGAGTGAAGACAGAGGAAATTGCCAAGCTGGAAAGCCAGATATTCAAACTGTATCAACTTGCAATGTACTGATATACATTGTCTTGATCTCAATCTAGAAAGCTGCGTCTTGGAATGTATATCCTGGTTTTTCCGGCTTCTGCCAACAATGCCGCCTCCAAATCTTGATTTGACGTGATTATCGAGTGTTGGCATTCGGCATCACGTAATTGTAGCTTGGGTCCAAGGGACATAAAAAACATATCCTACCAATTCGGAATACTGTGTCTAGTTATTATTAATAATAATTTTAAAGACGAATATTTGATTAAATGAGTGTGGAAATGCCAAACAAGTTGGTTGCAGTATTTTTGGCTTGGCCTTGCGACACACCAGTTAGTTCTTCCCCATAACGGAAATGATTACGACATCTTCAACTTAATATTATCCGTGCTGACGTGCATAAAGAGAAATATTGTTTCGTATCCTTTAAAGCTATCCATCTCTGAATATGCAAAAGATATATTTCTCAGCAATCTAAATTTGGGTCCAAGGGACATAAAAAACATATCCTACCAATTTGGAATATTGTGTCTATTTATTATTAATATTAATTTTAAAGACGAATATTTGATTAAATGAGGGGGGGGGGGGATGCCAAACCAAGTTGGTTGCTGTATTTTTGGCTTGGCCTTGCATCACACCAATTACTTCTTCCCATAAAATGAAATGATTACAGCATCTTCAACTTAATGGTATCTGTGCATAAAGAGAAATATTGTTTCTTATCCTTTAAAGTTATCCATCTCTGAATATGGGAAAGATAAATTAATCCCTTTTTTTTCCCTGTCAGCAATCTAAATTTGGCATCAGATACATCATACGTACACTAAACAAGATCTGTGAAGCCCATCTAGTGGACGTGCATGGGTGTTACTCCATAATAGTTTTAATTGAGAATTTTACCGTTCACAAATGTATCCATGCTCAAATTTCTATCGATTTAACATTACCTTGAAAATATGGTAAAGATTTAAAATCAGCACACACAATTATCATTTTTATTTTATTTATTTATTTTTCCATTCGAAGGTGCTCTTTTACAATTCTTTAGTTAGATTATGTTCTGATATATAATATATGTGTGGCACATTAATAATTACACTGCTGAAGCTTTTAGCATAGACAATGAATGCTCGCTATGCATGTGTTTTTTACTGTTCTTTTACCCTAAGTTTCCTTCTTGGTATAAATTTATATTATTGCGAGTCAAAATTGTATCTATAATTGGTCCAAAATACATTACATGGCTATTAAGGATTAGAATGCTACTTCAATTTACTATTTGTCATAGGGTTTGATTACAATTCCTATCAAAAAAAATTTACTATTTGTCATAGAGTTAATTTTCTTATAAATTGTCATATATTTTCCTTTGAAACATTTAGAGAATATATAGATACAAGAAGGAATTATTTCAAGACCTATTCTTAGCCTATACACTATACACAGCTGAACTCATGGTGGATCCTTAAATTAAGGGATTTGATACAAGCATGCAGCTAAGGTTTCTATTTTCTTGTGATTTTAATGACTCACGCCAACACTCTCCTTCAAGTTGGTGTATAAACGTCTCTAATGTCCAACTTGTCAAGGGAGTCATTAAAGTTCTTGCTAGAAATTGCATTTGTGAGTATATCTGCCAACTGGTCTTCCGACTTGACAAAAGGAAATTGAATAATCTTCTCCTCAAGATTCTGCTTAATGAAATGCCTGTCTATCTCCACGTGCTTTGTTCGATCATGCTAGACAGGATTTTGTGAGATATCAATGGTAGCTTTATTGTCACAAAACAAGTTCATCTCCATGCTAGGACCAAAGCCAATCTCCATTAGTAACCTTCTAAGCCATAATAGTTCACACAACCCTTTTGCCATGCCTCTAAACACGGCTTCAGCGCTGGACAGAGCCACCACCTTTTGCTTTTTACTTTTCCACGTAACTAAATTCCTTCCCACAAATGTAAAGTAGCCTGAAGTGGATTTTCTGTCCAAAACATTCCCTGCCCAATCTGCATCTGTGTACCCTTCGATATTCAAGTGATTATTCTTAGAGAACATCAACCCCTTTCCTGGTGAGGCTTTCAAGTAGCGAAGTATTCGGATCACTGCATCCATATGCTCTTTACTCGGATTATGCATAAATTGGCTCACCACACTTACGGCATAGTCAATATCAGGGCGAGTATGTGACAAATAAATAAGCTTTCCCACCAATCTTTGGTACCTTTATCCGTAGGCACTTGGTCCGTGTACTCTGTGAGTTTGTGATTTTGAGCTATGGGAGTGTCTACTGCTTGCACTCTAGGAGCCCCACCTCCAACAGTAGGTCCAGCACGTACTTTCTTTGAGACAAGGAATTACCTCTTCGTGACCTTGCCACCCCTATTCCCAAAAAATGCTTAAGTCCACCCAGATTCTTCATTCTGAACTCAACTGACAATTGCTCTTGTAGTCTTGAAATTTCTTCGGCATCATCCCCCGTAATAATCATGCCATCTACGTAAACAATTAGAGCCGTTACCTTCCCTTGCCGATGCTTTAGGAAGAGAGTGTGATCCACATTACTTTGATCAAAGCCATACCTTCTCATAGCCGAGCTAAATCGCCCGAACCATGCCCGAGGTGATTGTTTCAATCCATATAATGCCTGTTCCAACTTGCATACAACCTTGGTTCCAGAAAAGGATGTATAGCCTGGAGGGATATCCATATAGACTTCTTCTTCAAGATCGCCATGGAGAAAGGCATTCTTTACGTCTAACTGGAGTAATGGCCAATCTAAATTCGCTGCAAGAGATAGTAAAACTCTAACAGTATTTAGTTTGGCTACGAGTGAGAAAGTCTCCGTGTAATCTATACCGTATGTCTATGCGAACCCCTTCGCTACCAGCCTTGCTTTGTATCGGTCAATGGATCCATTAGCTTTGTATTTAATTGAAAATACCCATTTGCACCCCACTGTCTTCTTCCCTTCAGGCAATGGTATCAACCTCCACGTATTATTTTTTTGTAAAGCTTCCAATTCCTCTTGCATGGCTTGAGCCCACTTAGGATCACGTAAGGCTTCCTCCACACTATTTGGAATGTGACAGGATGATAATGTCTTTGTGAAGATCTTAATGGGCTCAGATAGATGTTGAGTGGACACATAATTTGCAATGGGGTATTTAGACTGCCTCTCTTCTTCATCAGGGGAGTATCTGTTAGGTGGCTTTCCTCGATTTTGCCTGAAAGGCAACACATATTCCACGGGAGCATTCGAGGTAGCAACATATGGAGGAGTAGTAGGAGAGCTTACCTCAGGATTGTTCTCAGTAGGAGAGTTGGGTACTATCGAGGAAAGGGGTTCTTGACTTTCTTGGTTTATAGACTCTCCATGGACAGGAACTTCTTCACTCTCAACTTCAGCTATGTTCAAATCCTACAGCTTTGTAGTTTCATTATTTTTGGTTCCTTCAACTTCAGTTTCATGCTCTCCCATTTTTCTCTTGTCATCGGTAGCAGGAACCGCCATTAACCAATTCAGCTCTTCATCCATAGACTCCCCTTGAAGATCTGAATTGGGTACTATGGGAGAAAATGAAGGCTCGGATTCAAGAAAGGTGGCATCCATTGTGGTATATGTTTTGTTAGTAGTAGGGTCAAAGCATATGTAGCCCTTTTATGTACCCTGTGGCCCAAAAACAAACATCTGACAGCACATAGATCAAGCTTGGTACGTTGGTTTTTGTGGAGGTGAACAAAGACCACACAACCAAAAACTCGAGGAGGGAGCTCAGCACAGTAGGTAAAGAGACATGAGAGGAGAGCGCTTGCAAGGGAGTTTTAAAGTGCAAGACTTTGGAGGGCATGCGGTTGAGTAGGTATACAGCTGTAGACACGGCACTTCCCCAATGGCGTGTTGGAACGTGTGTGCCGAGAAGAAGAGCTCGGATTGTCTCCAAGATATGGCGATTTTTTGTTCGGCAATGCCATTCTGTTGTGGGGTCTGAGAACATAAGGTTTCATGGAGGAGACCATGCTGCTTGAAGTATGCTTGGAAACGGTGATCGACAAACTCCCTTCCATTATTTGACCGAAGAACTTGAATCTTGGCAGAAAATTGGTTTCGAATCATTGCATGAAAAGCCTTAAATAATGGAAACACCTAATCTTTGGTCTTCATAGGGTAAAGCCATGTCATTCGGGTGCAGTCATCCACAAAAATTACAAACCAACGGTGACCAGATAGAGTAATTATCGGGGAGGGTCCCCAATCATTAGAATGTATTAAAGCAAAGGGAACAGTACTTTTATTCAAACTTGCAGGGTAGGAAATTCTATGGCTCTTAGCCAAAATACAAGTATCACATTTAAAGTCAACATTATGTAAATGTAAGAATAAATTCGGAAATAAGTGCTTCAAGTAACCGAATGATGGATGTCCCAAGCAACGATGCCACAACCATATTTCCTGTTCTTTGCTACTGATCTGATGATGCACGTGATGTGTTGTTCCTCGGCTGAAATCATCTAAGTAATATAACCCCCTCCTCTTAGTACCACGCCCAATAATCTCCTTGCTGAGAACATCCTGGAGAAGACAAAAGGTAGGATAGATCAATACTACACAATTGAGTTCCTCATTTACTTGACTTACAGACATTAATTTATTTGATAATGAAGGGACAAGGAGAGTATGGGATAAGGTGAGTGAGGGTGATAATGGCACGGCTCCAGCCCGTGACTGGATATGCAACTCCGTTTGCATTAGCAATGCAGGTCCGCCGTGGTTGAGTTGTATGTGAGAAGTCCTTGGGGTCAAAAGTCATGTGATTTGTAGCCCTCGAGTCTATAATCCAGGCACCCGCATCCTGTGAATTAGAACTACAAAAAACTTGTCCACAATGACCTTGGTCTACAGAAGTGGAAGAATCAGTCAGAGGGATAAGCGAGAGTTGAGACCCAACTGTGACTACAGCAGCTTTGCCCGTGCCTTCCTCAAGTGCTGTGGTGTCTCTTTTCTCCTAGCTTGCAGCTCATGCCACCACTCGGGATACCCATCTTGAAGCAGGTATCGCGAGTGTGTTTGGTATTTCCACAGTGTGTACATTTTTCTCCATTGGACGGACCTTTCAACTTGGAAAATGAGTTGTGTTTCCTAGTCACCAGCTTTGGTTGTTGGCCAGGTTTCGAGCTTTTAGTGGCCATAACAACACCGCTGGTTATAATCTCTGTCCCAGATGTCATCACAATCTGGCGAGTGTCCTCCCTGCTCGATTGTGGGAAATGGTTTCAGTTGGAGTACATCGCTCCGAATGTTATCGAGTCGGTCATCTAATCCATCTAGGAAAATGTAGACTCTTTCCTCCTGTAGTAAGGAATTGTATTTTTGTATATCTATTGCACGCTCCATGGGATTAGGACGTCGGAAGTCTATCTCACGCCACAGCCCTTGTAAATCATTGTAGTATTTTTCAATTGATCCTCCTCCCTACCGCATCCAAGTTACCCTACGCCGGAGGTCATAAACTTGTGAAGTATCAGTTCCATCAAAATATGTATGAAATTCACGACCAGAGACGGGTCCATTGAGTTTATCAGCCATCCTTTCACTATCGCATTTTCGGTATGCCATTTACGAAATGTTGGATTTGTTTCAGAAGGTTGAGGAAAGTTTCCATTAATATATCCCAATTTGTCCGTGCCTCAGCCACCTGGGACCATATAGCATAATTGGATCCATCCAACTTAATGCTAATCGGTACAATAGGGGAATCGGTGATCGGCAATTGTGATGTGGTCTGGACCTTTGTCAAAGCCTCTGTCATTTTGGTCGTAAGGTTGTCAAGAATTGAATCAGTGGAGGTGTTTGGTGGCTGTACCAAATCGGTGGAGTCAGCCATGGATTCCAAGCTATTTGGGTTCCCTTTCTCTGTCAGTTCACGGGAAGCCCAAGACCATGCTCTAATACCATGTCATAGAGTGAATTTTCTTATAAATTGTCATATATTTTCCTTTGAAACATTTACAGAATATATCGATACAAGAAAGAATTATTTCAAGACCTATTCTTAGCCTAGACACTATACACAGCTGAACTCATGGTGGATCCTTAAATTAAGGGATTTGATACAAGCATACAGCTAAGGTTTCTATTTTCTTGTGATTTTAATGACTCACGCCAACACTATTTGTGGTAATAGCTGTTTTTTAATTCTTGTTACATCACATGATAAACTAACCCATATGAAACAAAATCCATTGAAAAGCTCGAGAAAGTGGAAAAATGAAATCTAGATTTCCAAATTGGCTGTTCATTTGTTATGTTTGGACTCAAATATCTAAATTTAGATGTTGCTTTCTTGACCTCTTTACTTACAACATGGTTGAAGGTCCAATGGTTGTTTCCATGGCTTCACCATGGGGAATCTTTTTCACATTGAGAAAATTATACAATACAAAATGGGAAGGCCAGAACACTGGACAATGAGGACATAAATAAAACTAAACAACATGTCTGTGTAAACATATATCCAGATTTAACATTTGATTATTACGTGATTATTTATTGCAGGTTGCATTATACATGGATTGATGTGGGCACGCCAAACACTTCTTTCCTTGTCGCGTTGGATGCTGGAAGTGATTTGTTTTGGGTTCCTTGTGATTGTGTACAATGTGCTTCACTGTCTTTAAGTCACCACTCCATGTTGGTAGGCTCTCCATCTCCATTGTCGGATACAATTTGTTTTTCTTATTTTTCACTATATTGTAGAAAATATTTTCTGTGCTTTGGCGTTGGGAGTTCTAATGAGAATTTTTGCACAGTTTTCCTGATTAAGCTATATTTATAAAATTCAAACCACCTTTTATCCACACATTTTGTGGGACCACAAGTACTATCGGTTGGGCACCACCCATTTCTATCCATTTATAAACAAAACCGTTTATAAACACTTTCCAAACGTGTTTTAATTTTTTTGAGGAACAAAATCACAATATATGTTGAAACCTTGAGAAGATAAAGTGTTTTCATATCATCACTTTTTATGGAATTGAGCTATCTAGTTTATTGGTATCCGAGTCTTCATATCTGAAAGGTCAAGTAATAGCTATTGAGAGAATGCCGTTTTCATTTTGACTTGAAGGAACCCCATGTTTCTCCTATCCAGCCCGGGCAGTCTTCAGAAAAATAATTAAGAGTCCTTTTCTTAACATGGAATTTTATTTCCTATGGAGTTTTAGCGGTTAACTCTTTAGTAAGATGTTATGGCTTTGACCTGTGATAGGGTAGATAGTGATAGCAGGTTTAGCCGTTAATTTTCCAGTGATTGATTGGCAGGTGCTCCCTCCTGTTTGGGGCATCTATTATGCAGGATAGAGATCTGAGTCAGTATAGTCCATCCCGCTCGAGCACTAGCAAGCAGTTACCTTGCAGCCATGAGTTGTGCGACCAAGGGCCCAATTGCAAAAACCCAGAGGAGCACTGTCCTTATAGTGTTAAATACTTATCCGAAGATACTTCAAGCTCAGGATTTCTGTACGAGGATCAGATACATTTGGCCTCTGTGGGAGGGAACAGACAGCCAAGTTCTGCCCAGGCTCCTGTAATCTTAGGGTATGTTTAGTTTATCTGTCCGAAATTTCTAACCTTGTTTCTTTTTTGCTTTTCATAATATCTATTTTTTTTTCTCAATTGCAGCTGTGGTAGGTCACAAAGTGGTATTTATTTGGAAGGAATTGCCCCTGACGGTCTCATGGGATTGGGGCCTGGGGGCATATCTGTTCCTAGTTTGCTTGCAAAATCTGGATTTATTCCACATTCGTTCTCATTTTGCTATGACAAGAGCTATTCTGGGAGAGTGTTCTTTGGGGATGAAGGGCCTACATCTCAAAGATCTACTCCATTTTTACCATTGAAAGGAAAATCGTAAGTCTATGGTCTATTTATATCAGCTGTTACTATGTGCATTTTATGTAATTGTTACTTTAATCATTCTAGTATTTACGATTTATGGTTTTTCTCCGATTTCTTTCTTCCTTTTGTCAGTGTTGCCTATATTGTTGAAGTGGAGAGTTACTGTGTTGCGAATTCCTGTCTAAAGATTACTGAATTCAAAGCACAAGTCGATACTGGGTCATCTTTCACATATCTTCCACATGAGACTTACGAACAAGTTCTTGCTGAGGTTCTCCTCTTCTCTCTTAAGATTTAAAATTCAATTCATTTATTTATCTCTTTCTGCTTTCTTCATTAACATCGTGTTCCACGTGATATTTCTATCACATTTCCATTCATTACAGTTTGACAAACAAGTTAATGCTAAAAGGATCACGACACAAGGATTTGACTACTGTTACAAGGCTCGGTAAACACGGATTAACTTGAACAGCATTTAATTTTCTACCTCAGTGCATTTTGAAAGTTGCTTAGTTTCCCATCTTTCTTATTAGAGCTGATTCTCAGTGTTCGTTTTAATTAATGCAGTTCACTAAAATTACCCAGCATGAAACTAGTTTTTTCCTTGAACCAAAGCTTTGTAATTGAAGATCCCACGTTCCAAGTTTCTGACAATCAGGTGCGTATTTGTAACTTTCTTATTTCGTCATGTCCTGGTGACAACTGACACTAACCAGTAACTGTTTTATTTGTCATCATTGAGCAATAATTTACAGAGCTTAAATGATTGAAGAACAATCATCACTTTATTCCACAGAACCTAATTAAATCCTTTTGAAGTTACTATGTCCCAGTCTTTGCTTAGATTTGATTGCTATGCATATTAAATGTGGTTAAAATCTTTTCAAATTCGTAGATCACTGTTCACATAAATATTTAATATGACCATTTGATTAGAATGTGTTCATTTATTCACTTCAGCCTGTTTAAAGATTCCACTTATTACTGGAAAATTTGAGTTGCTATCTATAGTGCTTTAGGCACAGCTGAAGACTGTTGGGTTATGATTATGATGGTTGTTAGATAATTGGTTATTGAATAAGCAGGAGCGTTAGTCTTTAAGTAAGAATCATACTTTGAACTATCAATCTATCGATTGGCAGATAAACAGACTAACAACTGTTATATGTTAAAAAGACTGGGAGGTGAGTCAAAAATTTTGAAAAACCACGGGAGCATTCATTCTTAAATCACTAGATCACATTCTCACATTTTCAATGTAATAGTAGTTGCTTTCTAGCTATGTTGCTCGGACTCGGGTGCGGGTGTCGGACACGGGTACATATCTAGGGGTTGGATTCTTCTCATTTTTAAAATTAAGATATGGGGATACGGTTAAAAAGGATCCGAATTGTGGATATGGGTACGAGGATACGTCCTACAATTTGTTTAAAAATTGTTCAATTAAAGTACACAACAACAATATTAAAGCAAAAAGGCAAATTACCACAATACAAATGTTTCATATAATGATAAAAATCCAAATTCAAACAAAGCATAATTCAAAATAAAGTTAAACATCCAAAATGTTACAACTTCAAAATAAGTTTTCCACTTGAAATCAAACTAAACTAGCATTCCCAATCAAGCTCTACTCCTCTTCTTCATCAAACGTAATTGCCTCCAATTCTGGCTCATCAAGGGATAGTTCCGCCATCTCAATGATACCTTGTCCATCCAATTCAATTTGATCCCCGCCTACAAAAAATATAGATATATAAATATTAATGTAAAAAAAATTAGATATCTAAAAAAAACAAAGAATATAAGAATATTGTATACATACACAAATCCCAATATTTTGTTGGCCCACTTTGTACTCTTCTTTTCGTGACAGGAGTCGAAGATTACAATGAATAAATACCAAGTCTTCCGCCCTACTCGATGCTAGTTTGTTTCTCTTGATACTCTGGATGAGTGAATACGTTCTCCAATTTCGCTCACAACAAGAAGAGGATGCCGGTTGCGAGAGCAATTTAAATGCCAGAGATTGCAACAAAGGTATCGAAGAACCATGATTGGCCCACCAAGAGATTGGCTCTTCGTACATTCTTGCATCAATCACATGGGGTTGATTGTAATACTCCGATCCAGTAGAAAAGGACCCAAATTCAGCATATGCTTTCCTCAAATCAGCCGGATTTTCAAACAACCTTTTGAAGCATTTGCTTCTATTCATTGAAACTTCTTCATCTTCATGTGGTGCAATTCTTTGAATTCCGTTACTTCCATCTTGAAGCCAAGCTTCATTATAATACTTAGGAACCAAAGAGTGTGCCATACAAAGCAAAGGAGTGTTACTCTTATTCCATCTACTCTCCAAAACTTGATGAATAGCATCAAAAAAATCTGAATGCCCAGAAACTATATCTAGCCCCTCGTGCTCAAATACAATCTTTTTCACATTTTCAATCATTGTATCCCACATATCATATATTAAATGAAAAACTGGAGAATCAGTATCACCAACTTGTAACATATTATAAATAGGCTCAGTGAAAGATAAAAAATAATCCAAATTATCCCACCAAACGTCATTGACTACACATGTTTTCACTTCTTGTGATTTGCCTTCATTATTCCCGTCCCTATAAATTCTCCAATCTGAATCCATCACCATTTTCTCAAGCGCTGGCCTAACTTCTCTTAATCGTTTATTCATTACAATAGCAGATGCAAATCTTGTAGTAGCCACCCTCAACAAACACAACTTAGAATATTTATTGTATATAGGTAATGCCATTCCATGATTAACAATAAAATTACGAATGTTTTTCACATCACTCACCAAATCAGCAATCCACTTACAATATGCATACTGTGGTGATTTTTCAGATGGATCACATAGACTTTTCAAAGCCAAATTCAGACTATGTACCACACAAGGAGTCCAAAAGATATGAGGATACCTTGTTTCAATGCTTAGTCCAGCAGATTTATAGTTGGCAGCATTGTCAGTGATGATTTGAACAACATTTGAGCTTCCAATTTGCTTGATTGCATCCGTAAACATTGCTGCCACGTATTCTCCATCTTTTATATTGCTACTTGCATCAATTGCTTTAATAAACATGGCTCTCCCTGCAGATGCTCCCATCACATTAATAAGAGGTCTCCTTTGTTTATCCAACCAGCCATCAGAAACAATAGGCACTCCCTTTTTCCTCCATGAATCTCTAATAGGCTGAAGTTTTCTGTTGATATTCTCCTTCTCCTGTGCAAGCAATGTTGTACGCAGCCGGTTATAAGTAGGAGGGGTATAACCAGCCACATTACTATTGGCCAAAGTTCTACAAAACTGTCTGAAGTAAGGAGATTTTGCAAAATTGAAGGATAACGCACTGGCATAAAACATTCTGGCAGCCTCTTTATCAGCAGTGTCCCTTTGCGCCATGTTGAAAGTCTTTTCTAAAGGTCCAAGCTGTCCTCTTTTCTTCTTCATTTTCTGTTGCAGTAAATCAGAATCACTGGGCAGTGAGACATATTCAGCCCTTTTCCTTTCGTTAATCTCATCTTGTAATTTTTTCCTCTCAACTTGCTTGTGTTCCCTTTTGATTGATTGATGAATGTCATCTGTTATGACTTTACAACACTCGACTCCTTGATTTGGAAGTTTTAGCAAATGAGCCTTCACTTTAGTGTAAGATCCAGTCACTTTTTTATTGCAATAGTTGCAACTCCAAGTCCGATTTCCGCCACCGCTCAATGCTACGGTCAGTACCTTCACATGGTTCCATAGTGGCTTATCATCGAATTGATTTGCACGAAGATTTGAGGGTCGTTGAGGTGTTTCTAGTGTAGAGTTAGATGGATTCATACTTGAAAATTAGGAGTAAGCAATATTCTGGAATTTTTTGATTGAATTTTCGATTGAAGAAAATAATTTTCTGTAGAGGAAGATGAAAAATGTGGAGTTTTCTAGTGCAAAAATTCCAAGAAGGCAGATAAAACGTCTTTTGCAATTCCAAATGTCCTTTGCAATTCCAAGAGTTGACCTATTATAGGAAGAATCTTCAAATCTGGTGCAATTTATGGGGAAAGAGACTAACTCATCAAATAGCAATTAATGCACCAGAAATTTTGTCTCGTCCAAAGCTCCAACCCTCATCTTCCCTATCTACGTGTTTGCAATTACAGGTTAAATGCTGCTGCCATTTTCATTCCTCCATTTCCAGCCGTGTCCGAGTTCAAAGCCGAGTATCCGACCCGTATCCGTATCCGTGTCGTGTCGACATGGATACTTGGCCAAAAATGGAGAGTCCGAGCAACATAGCTTTCTAGTTTGTTCAGCCATTCTTCTAGAAAATACTTCACACTTTATTAAAGGTTGAACCCCAGCCTTGAGGGTCCCCCATCGCCCCGCCCCTGGAGCATTGTGAGGGAGGTAAATCGCGAGATGTGTCTAAGCAGGACAAGGAACAAGAGCTTGCCTGTACACTGGTGCCCACAAAGAGTCTAATTCCATATCTCAGGAATTGAACCCTCACATTACGGCTGCCAGCAAGGTTGAGACTACTTCACTCCTGTCCTTTGCACCACTGGGCTATGCCCCAGGGGACGATACTTCACACTTTATTACTTAGCCTATGTTTGGCTCATGTTATGAATTGTTCATAGACACTCAAGTCACTTTTTATCCACCCATTTAGGGGGGATCCACAAGTGCTACGCACTTATTCACTATTCATTTCTATCTATTTATAAGTTAAATTATTTGTAAATACTTCCCAAACGTGCTTTTAATGAAATGTATCCAAATTTCCTGTTTTTATCTTGGAATTTATAATAGTGTATTACTAACTTTGGATGTATATGCCTAGATAATAACAATCTTTCCACTGCATGCTGATTTTGTGCTTTTCCACCACTCTTGGTACTTGACAAATAGAATAAAAGAATTGTTCGTGCTTGATCTGTCTTGGAGTGCTTTTGCGCTAAAAATTGGTTACTCAATAGATTAAGTAGATGACAAGGTTTGTGCAGGGAGACTTAAGTTGCTTAGGCGTACATGCTATGGACGGGGATATTGGTATCATTGGACGTAAGTACTTATTTCTGTGCACATAATGATATAATCATATGTCCATGTCAGTTACTTCTCCTTTTGCTCCTCTCTCTTTCAGCACACGAAAAACACCCATTAGGAACATTTGTCTCACAACTGACAATAAAATTTCTTGCAAAAATTACATTTCATGCAGAAAACTTCCTGATGGGTTACCGCATGGTTTTTGATTGGGAGAAGTTGAAGCTGGGTTGGTCTATTTCTAATTGTAAGTAAATTTTGCATATTTGATTCCCTTAATCCCTTACCTATTGTTTTTTATAAAAAGAAGAAAAGATTAGGAATTAGGTGGTTATTGTTCCCTTCCATAAGAAATATAAACAGATACTATGTGTTTGAGCCCCATTTTTATGAAAAAATGCATTTTAGAATGGTAGATTGATGAGAAATGTGTGGTTGAAAAATAAGAAAAAGTTTTTGATTTACGTAAAATATTATTTTAATAAATAATGTATGGTTGAAAAGAAGATAGAGAAAAATGTATATTGAGAAGAATGAGAATCAAACAAGGCCATTATCTTGAAATTCGCCATCTTTCACAAATGTTCAAGATTTACTCTAGTATCAAATGCACTGTAAAAGATTATGATACCATATGGGAGAAAAAGAATTGAAGGCATAAGACTGGTTGTTATAATATCATTAGAGATTAATCTAGCATGCGTATTGAATTAAACACAGACCAGACGGTGAATTGACGATCTGGGTGACTGGCCTGTCTGGGAGACAGTGTTAGATCAATTTGCAAGCAAACAGATCAAACTTGCGCGGTTCTAAATGAAAAACAGCGACCCATTTAGATAAACCAGGCGGATTTTTTGCAGTCTTTTTAAAAAGCCTAAACTGTGGCTTGACCTCAAGGTTAAAAATGTATGTGCTAAGAAGGTTAGTCTTACCTAAATGTCTAAAACCTGAACGAATATATTTTAACATCAACATATGTATCAATATGGGAAAAAGAAAAATATTTTCATAATCTCAACCTTCGAACACATGCAAAAATAAGATAATAATAATTATTAAAAATTATTTAATTATCGAGTATCTATTTTAACCATGACTTTTAAACTTGGTCACATTTATTCCTCAAATTATTATTTAAAGATTATTTTTGTTAGAATTTTGACGCATTAATGACCCACCGAGGCAACAAGTGACTGTTTTGGGTCTGAAAACTATGATTGAAACTCTACAATAAGTGCTCTAAATCATGAATCTATTTTAGTCGTAGTACACGTCAAATGCATTAGTCTATGATTTATCCATATTGAATCTACTAGATCTAGTAGTAGGATCATAGTTTGCTGTCCAGTTTTAATTACAGATGATCTTATATTGAGTAAAAATAACGTGTGTACACAGGTCAAGACATTGGTGACAACCTGGAAGTCCATCCGACACCTCCCCCAAGTGGTGCATCGCCAAAATCGTTGCCAATAATCGAACAACAGCATCCTGCAAGTGGGCATGCTGTCCCACCTGCTGTTGCTGGTCATACCCCTCCAAAACCCTCTGCAGCCTCCTCTCTTCCCTCACGGCGTCAATATGGTATTACAAGTCTGCTTCTGTTTGTATTGGCCATATGTGTAATTTAACCACAAACTTTACAATTAGTATGTCCATTTGTATATCTTCTCTATCCCATCCTTGTAAATCAGGTCAATAGAGTATTTGGTCTGTTAAAAAGTTGTTACGCTTGATGTTCGATGATTTTCTGTAGTTAGTTCTACAGCTATCAGCTGCTTTGTGTCTAATTGCCATCATATATCATGTGAACTGCCATTGATAACTTAATCGACATTTTGTCTTCGCGTAGATGTGGGAAATGGACTTTGGAAGATCAAAAGTAGCATATATAGAGCCTTGTGCTGGAAAACAAAAAAAGAAACTTCCTTGATGCATAGGGACAAGAATTTTGTCTATTGCATACAAGTGAGGTCCATAAATTGTTCAACGATAAGGCAGAAGTGGGTACTATTCGTGGATTCCTAGAAATATGTGAATAAAAGGAGGCTTTGAATGTTTGTCTGCAGTTTATAGTCATGGGCTTTTTGAGGTTGTGGCTAGTAACGCTTCTTTTCTTTTCTTTGTTTTTTTTTGGGGGGGGGGGGGGGGGGGGGGG